CAACTAAAGAAAGAAATACTAATTTTCAAAGTGGAGTTTTGGCTGATTTAGTACAAGGAGTAACAGGGGTGAGGCCAAAGCACCCTGAGGACTGAGCAGTGCTCAGTGGGAACAGATTGCATGAGGTTTCCACCCCTCTGTTCTTTTCCTCTCTCAGAAACATTCAGGGAAATCAGAGACAAATTTAATCAGCAACAAACTTAATCAGCATCCAGCAATTCCCCCTATTAAAGACTCTTTGCTTTTTTTAATGGCTGCTGCCTGATTTTTCCAGTCTTGCTGGCAGAAAGGAACTCTGTTCTACCAGATTTCCTTAAAAGGCATTAAAAACATGGGAAAGATTTTATAATTAACATAAAAATTAAATATTATCATCAAGCTGGAAAAAGGACAAAAGTGAGTGAGCAGAAAACAATGACCAGGTGAGATGGTCAATGAAGGGCAATGGGCAGGAAAAGCAGAAATGCGGGGAAAAAAAAATAAATCTCTGAAATCCCAGTAATGGAAAGTGGATGGGTGAGAAAAAATATGGAGTTCTGCAGATACAACTCAGCTTTATCACAAAAAGGGTTATTGATTGCCATAAGCAGCTGGAGAAGTGAGGGATGATTCTGTTGAGCAGCAGGAGACTGATCTGGGGCTGAGCAAGCCAAATTTTGCCATCAGTTTTGTGGGTGACACAGAGCAAATCCCTTCAGCAGAGCTCTGACTTCCATCTCTTTGCACAGCAGTGAAGCTGCAGCACTGATAAAGTGCTTCAAGGGTTATTGGTGAACCCACTGAGCAAGGGTGGTTAAACACAAAAATGCTGACTCTTTCCATGACAAAAAAAATTCAACATCAAACATGAATTTCCAAACAGCAGGAAAACWGCCYTGGGCCCTGACAGAATCAYTGAGGYTGGAAATGGATCATCGAGTCCAACCTGTGCCTGATCCCCACYTTGTCACCAGCCCAGARCACYGAGTGCCACCTCCAGGAGTTCCCTGGACACTTCCAGGGATGGGGACTCCAAACTTCCTTGGGCATTCCAATGTTTAACAATCCTTTCTGTGAAGAAATTCCCCCTGATGCCCAATCTGAACCTCCCCTCTCAGCTTAAGACAAAGTCTCCATCCARAGCATCCTCCCTCATCTCCACACCWGGATTTGGGACTGCTGAGGTCCCAGCCAGCCTTTCCAAACCCTTCCCAAGCCATGAGGGATGGGCAGGCGGAGGAAGAGGGGAAGCATCACCTTTTCTCGATAGAATCGATGTTGGAGTGGAGCAGCCACAGCTCCTCGGCGTTGTCGTGCCGCCGGGACGAGAAGATGAGGTGGTGGCCGGTCAGACACAGCGTCCCCTCCACGGCCGCGTGGAACGGCCGGTGCAGCACCACGTTATCGGCTCGGGGCGTCTTGATCAGCTCGGCGAACTCCATGCTGGAGGGGGAGGCGGGGGAAATTCACCGGGAAAATTCACTGGGATAAATCACCGGGAAAACGGGCGGGGAGCCTCGGGAACAGCGGCAGGGCCGGGGTGGGAAAGCTGGGGAGGGTCTGTGCGGTCCCACCCGGGCAGGAGGGGGCATAACCCGCGGTGGCGGCGGCTCCCCGGGGACGGAGGGCGGTGAGGGCAGCGGGACGGGGAGAGACCCTCACAGGGCCCCCCTTCTCCCTCAGGGCCGGGCCGGGGGCGAGCGGGGCGGTCACAGCGGSGAGCGAGGGGGCGGCGCGGGGAGACCCTCGGTGCTGACACGGCGAGGGTCAGGGCGCCGGGGGAGCCCCAGGACCCCCGGG